TCAGTATGTGTTTGTGCCTTACTTTTCAAGATAATCATATAGAGACATACACATTTGTCTTTGCTGGAGACATTGTCAATGCTTTTCTGAAAGCTTTAACACGCACTTGTAGACAATGAATGTCAATGCAGAGGATCCCTGTGTAATTACTGCAGCAGGATGGTGTATGATGTCTGCTACATCTAACCTTCAGACATGAATGACATTAATTATTTCAAATTAGCACAATGAGTGTCTAAATAGAATACAGATAGATTACATTTCTTTGCAATGGTTTTACTGGGCTAATGTGATGATGCAATGCAATGTGCTATTCATTTGTTAGCTAAAACTGATGTTTCAGCTCTTTTAGTGTTGTACAAACTGGCAGCTTTCTCAAGACCTGTTTTACTTTGTTTTCTTTTAGTCAAAGCTTTCTTAAATCATCATGCAAAATTACAAATTTTCAGATTTCAAATCTGCAGTTGAGTTTGTGTTGGCTTGGAATGATATGGTATTTCAGGCATCAGTCAGCACGCTTTAATATAGTTAGGTGCTGAAACTCAATGTTGTTGAAACTCAAGGTACTGAAGTGGCTACGGATGCTTACCCATTGGCCAAAACTGGTGCCACCTGTCTCAGCATTATCCATCATACACTAGAAAGTGGAATCAGAAGTGGGAGGTTTCCCTAGATGATACCAAATAGGTTTTCTGATTTATGAGCTGTAACTAGGTTTGACAGTGGGTTCCTTGGAGACCCCAGTTGTGTTTGCCAGAAATTGGTACTGAGTGGGTTTCTTTCGTTGCATAATGTTTGGCCACCAAGATATGTTGCTGCATAATAAGTGCAGTGCCCCACGACTTTGATCTTACAAAGACAAAGTCTGTTTTATGGTGGCCAGAGATAGGTTTAACATAGCAGTGTACTTCAGGCAGAATTGTGTTTACCACTGTGGTCGTTCTAATTTTGACCAATGTGACCCACATAACTTTGCCCCTACTGTATGTCACCCACATACAGTATGAAGCAGAAAGCCCTTTTCTCATGTACACTTTATATGACCAATAGCTTTATTAACAAAACCAAAACAAATTGATGGATACACCTATCATGGGCTGTCATTAGAACCATCAAAGTTAAGTCAAAGACAAGTTAAAACACATTGCAGTGGAGGCAAACTAAGACCAATTTTGCTTTCACTTCAGTCAATACTCATGCTACGAAATGGAAAGTCTTGTTCAGGGATGTAGCTTACTGTAAAACTGTGAACTTGGTTGGTCGAATATTTACCCATGTGATATCATTGATTATTGATTGAGATTTTCAGATATTTTTATGCAATTTTTGTTACTTCACATTTATATCATCTGTCCCCTGGCAGTGGCTGGTCCAAACTGGGCGAGCTACATTGAGCTATAGGACAGAACTGCCAAGCTTTTTACAATGACCTCAATGGCCCAATTTGACTGGTCCAAAGGTCAGACAGCACAGGACCTGTTTTTGTTGTTGTTGTTGTTGTTGTTGTTGTTTTATTAGCTATCCATAGTTGAACAAGCATGCCAGTGAGTAACAGTGGGTGGATGATTGCCATCGCCCTCACTGAATTACTCAAAATAACTAAATGTCCATAATTGAATAGCCTCCAAAACACACATAGTCTGGATGCGTGGGAGAACCAAGTCAGGTGTGCCTAAATGTGTTAAATAGAAGAGCTATTATGCTGTAGATGCAGACTGTACACTGGAAAATGGGATGAGTGGGTGGTCCAAGTGAAGGATGTATGCGTTTCAAATCACCTTAGTACCAATTGCTGCCACGCAAACACATTAGAGATTGACAATACAGCCCTCATCAAATGAGTGAGACGGGGTGATGGATAGATGATGAAGGGTAAAACACAAAGTAAGCACAGCTTGAGAGATGACAAATATGAATAAATGGAAGGGGGTGCAAGATGGATGTTAATGAGAACAGTATGGAAATGAAAATAGCAAGGTTGTTTGGGGGAGATTAGCAATCAGAATGACATTCTCATTAGGAAAAGTGATACATAAACAAAGATTTTGAGAAGGGGACAAAGGGAAGAATAGCAGAGAGGTAGGTCAGAAGACAGTAACAACAGCCAAATGAGGGTTGAGGGACAGAAATTGAGAAAAATGACTCGGGATGAAAGAAAATCCATTAGTTACAGAGGATGATGGACAGCTATGGACTAAATTAAAAAATAGCAAAGTTAAGAGGGCATGGATGGAGTGACAAGGAGATTGAATATATATTATATGGGAAGGTCTGTTGTATATGATATATGCGCATGGGTATGAAAATAGGTATGATTGAGTGAGTATAGAGTGAATAGACATAGACCTGAGTATGACTGAGAAACAGGTGAATAATGTGTTATATGAGGGAAATTGGATGGGAATCTAAAGCTCAGGGAATCATCAAGAAAAATGGAGAGACATATGTTGAAAGACAGACAAAATTGTTGAAGTAATACGATGGAAAGGCTGTTAGGAGATCTGAAGTGTGTGTGCGTAAGTTATAGCTTATCATTGTTTCTGCTCTGCGCTCCACAGTGTGGGAGGATGGAGAACATGAAGTATCAAATAACAGCATGTCTATTATTACCTGGCTCATAAGATTGCATCCATTTTTGTTTGTTTGTTTATTTATATACTCTGCAGATTCGCTTTACTGGATCGTAAGCAGGGAAATGAAGATAAAGAGGGTAGCAACACTGGGTATTTTTATCGTGTGATGCTGTAGTATATTCCCATCCTTTGATAAAATGTTCTGTTAAGGGTTTTTTTTTTTTGGGAATATCAAGGGAGCAGCGTAGTAGGGAAGTACTGTTCGTGGGGCATCTATTGAATACAAGCTCAATGCTATTGATTGGCCTGGTGGTCAAACTCAGGAGGCTAATATACTGCTGCCCATTGGTACACACATGCGTCACGCCATGGGTTTCGAGTCGTGTCTGTGATGTACAAAGACTGGGAGATGGTTTCATATTTAGCCTTCTGGTTTAACTGTGATATGGTTAGTTAATATATTACAACATGTGCAAAAAAGACAAGTCAGTCCACAAAGAGTAGTTGACCATTTGAATTGATATTTGTGTTAAATTCATGTTGTCCAGGTAAATTTATTTGACCTAATGTACAACCTATTTTTGCAAGTTTCAACTCAAAGCTGATTTTTTTGTTTTTTGTTTTCTAGACATTTTAGAGAAGGAAAATAAAACCCCATTTAAGTTATTAAGGTTCACACCCATGACAAGCCTTCAATAGCTACTCTAGTTGAATCGGACAATACAATAAAATACAAGATTGAATACCATGCATAGCCGGCTGCTTCAACATTTGTTTTATTAAAGATGCAATTTTGCCTCTAAAGTTATCCTTTAGTCTGTTCTACAACTTCATATCTCAGACAGCGATCAACATCTATTACAATCCTAAATGGGACACTCAAGTTGCTGCTTTTTGTCAATTCTTTTGGGATGACATCTTTAATTTGAATAAGGTGCGAAGTGAGGAAAGTTGGAGGTGAACCGATGTAAATTTGAAAGAAATATTTGACAGTTTTTGATGAAATGGTGTCAAATTGTGTATGTCTCCTGAGTGCCAAGTGTTTCCATGCCCAGCACGCCTGCTTATTTGCACTACGCATATTAAACAACGGCTCTAGAATACTCAGAGGTGTTTGTATTTGGTAAGACAAAGGGAGTCATCACATTTCAGGCTACAGACAAAACACAAAGCTGCAACTTTTTTTTATGACCTTTAAAAAGCCTTCAGTATACAAACAACTGTAGATAAGAGATACAAGCAAGGCACAGAATACAAATCCATTTGGTTTGCTGGAATGATTGCCTTACTCTGAACTAAAACAGGATTCTTTCGCAATTCTTGCAGACTGTGCACCGAAACTGAATTGACCATTAGCACTCCACACCTACCTATTGCATTTCCCCAAAATATGAAAAAAGCATCAGTAAGGAAATGTAGCCATGTGTGCCTCTGTCATATGCCAGCTCATCATGTATTATACCCCACTTTCATACTGCATTTGATATTTCAGTACAGCTTTGAGAAGTTCAATGTCTGTTCCTCAAACTCATCTTCCACGTTTTTAAATTGTATACTAGTACTGGAACAAGTTGCAGAAATGGTAAATAAATATAAGTATCTGAAGTGGTTTAGCAAAAATCACATCATTTTATGTACTTTACACCACCAACAATATTGCACTACTAAAGGTTAGTTTTTGTGTTTTGAAGTGCTTGGGTATAATTGCTTAAATTTGTAAAAGGCAAATAAATAAAAAAAGATGCACTCTGTTTTTCAAAACAAAACAAAACAAAAAATGAGAGAGCAACTACTGCTTTCAATTTTGCCCAGCATGAAAAGGCAGTGAAAGCATTATACAAGACCACAGTGTGAGATTTGATCTCACATTACTCCTTTAATGTCCCCTGCATCACGGCTGGAGTCGAGATATTATAGCTCACTGCCAGCTGTTTGTCAGCTATAAAGCCCTGAGGCAAATTGTGCTTCTGAGCAATACAAATAATTATTGAATTGACCTAAGTTACACAGACATTAACAAGCTCAGTGTATTGTGGGAAGCAGACTAACCAACTTACAATGCTACAAAGATATGGGTTTGTTTGCCTAACACACAGTGAACAGTGAAGCACAACACTGAATATACAATTTGTATTTTTAGTTGCTTAAACTTACTTGTCACTTGATCCGTATTATTTAGATAGTTCCTGTTTTAAAACGTCTTTCCACTAAAGGTAATGACAAAATAAAAACATGTTGTTCCAGGTGCATTGAAATTGTCATTTAAGATGATATGTTCAAAGAGTTTATTTATTTTGTGACTGATCTAGTTTCTCTGCAGATCAATCGTTGCACCCTGGGTTTCTACTCTCTGCCTGTTGCTTTCTCCGTAGTGACACAAGCTTTGTATCACCTTCAATTAATTGCTCGTTTCATCCTGTCTTTCAGTTGCCCTGTTCCAAGTGGAGGATAATGGAACGGCTTTGGATCTCTTTGCTGTTGCTGGCAGCAGCATGCAAGGGGCAGCCGTGTCCGAAACGCTGTATGTGCCAGAGCCTCTCGCCATCGCTTGCTATCCTCTGCTCCAAAACAGGCTTGCTGTTTGTTCCTGCTGCCATTGACCGACGCACAGTGGAGCTACGGCTTCAGGAGAACTTTATAACAGGTGACATACCTGCCAGTTTCTACAATGTTTTATATCACTGGAAATAAAGGCAGGGCTTGGGGACAAGTTTTATGATTTTGTCACACCATTATAATATATATTTACTGTCACCATCTACGATGAATACAGGGTTTAATATACGGTTGATAAAATGCTTTGATATTGATCAGCAGAAGCATTGGCAAGTAAATAGTTACATTGTTATAGCAGATGTGCAACCGATGATTGGACAGGTTTAATACTAAGGAATTTGAAGGACACATTGGATGCATTAAGTAGAGTGATTCAGATGTATATAAAGCAACATGCTATAGGTTTTATAATCAGCTATAATAATAATACATTTCATTTAAAGATACCTTTCAAAAAGGCTGAAGGTCACCTTACAAAGCAGGGATAAAAACAACAAAGTAAAAACACATCAATAAAATTAAGATTAAAACGCAAATGTACAGGACGTAGAGGTTTTATGAGACCGGATGTAGAGCTACTGTATATACACAACACTTGGAAATTAATGTTTCCCTGGGTCACTTTTCTTTTTGGTTTGTCTCTACATGTTGTTTGTAATATTTCCCATGTCTCATGACATTAATTTTCATATTTCTTTTTTTTTTTTTACTTTTTGGGGGCCTTGTACTTCAGTCTACAAAATATTATTCATGACTCATCATCTCCACTTCTCTTGGATACTTTGTGTGAAATGTACTTATTTTTAAGAACTGAAGTATTGCTTCATCCGTTCTATTATAATCTGGATTCCCATTAGCTCTCACCAAGGCAGTTAAATAATCTTCCAAGGCTTGACATGAAAGAAATTCTATCCTTCAGTCCGCCAAAACAAAAGACACACATCCTGAATAAGAGACGTCTTTCATATGGTCCAGAAAGATAGAAAGTAAGACCGTGAGCAATATCACCCTAATGCAGTAATTAAAGTAACACTGTTTTGTCCATTTCAATATCAGCACTACAAATATGAAAAACAGAATATTCTCTATCTTATTTTGTAGAAAACCAGTATATCTCTGCTATCAATACAGGTCCTTAGTGTATGTTGCTAAAAAGTAAGTTTTGACTAAATACTCATTGGGTCCAGCCCAGAAGCTAGATGGTAACTAGTAGAGATGCACCCACCCAATCCTGGATTTGGATATGTCCGATACTGACTCAAAAAGCTAGATCGGGTATCAGCGACAATGAGGTAAATCTTTTCACTTCAGTTCTATGCTATTCTGTGTTTACGGCAAGCACGCTCATGTACTACATCACTGTCATTAGTGTGCTGGTAGACCTGTGCACTTCGCTAGACAGAGCCAACATAGCATTGAGGTTACTAATAACAAAGGCTAAGCAGTTTGCACATACAATGCAGCTCATAGTCAAGTAGGGTTCACTTTTTAAATGTTGTTATACAAAGTTGGGAAATCCAGATTCTGCATTACATACAGTATAAGTGATCCCCAGTCTCATCGTCATAGAGAGGTAAACAGATGGTTAATTTATAACTGGTATCCGATCTGTATAGGTATCAGTATAACATGGACATTGGCATATACACAAAGCCCAGGTACTGGATCGCTATCCGAGCTTAAAAAGTTGTATTGCTGCATCATTAGTAAGTAGGTGTGCCCTTGTTCATGTATGTAAAACGAAGAAGGATTTATATGAAATAAGTCCCATGGTTGCCTTAACAAACATTATGTTACAAGGACAATACTATTAAAAGGAGCCACACCACATTACAAATGTGTGCATTCAATCTTAAATATTGCATATTCGTCTACAGACTCATATTTTTCCACAGTTTTGTACTAATGTAATATCCTAGCAATTTAAGATTGACTTTATACAATTGACTTTGTGTTAAATCCATTCACTTTCAGCTGTCCGAAGAAAGGACTTTGCCAACATGACCAGCCTGCTACATCTGACCCTGTCCAGAAACACCATTAGTCAGATTCTCCCTTCAGCTTTCAGTGACCTGCGGCGACTCAGAGCCCTGCACTTAGACTCTAACAGAATAACTGTGATCAAGGTAAGACTGATGGAGGAATGCCTGGATGGATTAATGATGGTAAATTGATTTGAAAAGTCAAACAGAGCATGGACTGATAACAGATGAAGGATTCTCAGTTTAGACTGGGGACAGAGCTACAATGTAAGATAGCCTATTTATAAGCTTATGGGAAAGATATTTGTGTGATGCTGATATTTGCATTTTACATTTTTTATCAATTAGGATGACCATTTCAAAGGCTTGACGAACCTTCGTCACCTGATCCTGGCCAACAACCAGCTCCACGCCATAGCTCCCCATGCTTTTGATGATTTCCTGTCCACACTGGAGGATCTCGACCTTAGCTACAACAACCTTGCAGAGGTGCCCTGGGACACGATTGGGCGGCTAACCAATGTTAATACCCTAAATATGGATCACAACCTCATAGAAAATGTTCCCCAAGGTGTATTCACCAACCTACACAAACTGGCAAGGTAAGTGGATAAACAGAGTAAATGGATATGGAATGAGCAGAGGATGTGTGCCGAGACAGATCCACGTACTAATTGCATACAGACTAACTGTAAAGAACTCTGTTGATCTAATGATGATATGCCTGTCTCTTTCTCCCTCTCTCCTCTTGCCCATCCTTCAACTTCTCCCTACCTCACTTTCACAGGCTAGACATGACATCCAACAAGCTAAAGAAAATTCCCCCGGACCCGTTGTTCCTGAGAATCCCAGTTTATGCCAAGTCCAGAGGCTCTCCCCTCACCTCCCTTGTGTTGAGTTTTGGTGGCAACCCTCTTCACTGTAACTGTGAACTTCTGTGGTTAAGGAGACTGACAAGAGAAGATGACCTTGAGACATGCGCCTCTCCACCCGACCTCAGTGCCAAATATTTCTGGACTATACCTGAAGAGGTGACGTTTCGATTTTTTAACATTTGCTATGATAAGAAATAATTGTGGGATTTCTTTCCAATATTATTTCAAGGGAATGGTCTATCAATTTGAGAGTTGACTTTATGGTTTCACACTTACATTTTGTAAGGCTTTCCCTCAAAAACCCACCCTGCTTTTAGATAGTCAGTGCTTGCTATGGAAATTGCTATGCCTGTATATTTCTTGGACACAACCTATACACATGTGGTTCAAAGCACATGATGCAAAGGCCTTAAAGGTGTATCCATCTACTTATTGCTGGTTAAAAGCTACACGATCTAGTTGAAAAGTAAAGTGCAGGGTACAAAGTGACTGCATTAGTTGTGTTTTGGACATAGTAACAGTCAAACCAATCAGTGTCAGTGTCTCTTACTCCCTTTTCAAGTGTAAAGTGTAGGCAGGCAGGCATTGCCTTTTTACACATTACATTTTAGCAAATATTCTTAAACAGACTTGACTGAGATTGACTCTTGTACTGTAGCTTCTCTAACTCCACTTGCCCATGTACCCAATGAATATGCATGAAATATTGTGATGCACAAATGAATTATGTCCACTGCAGCAATGCTTATGCTTAGTATTTGTATTGGGCATCATACAGTTCTCTGTAGGCCCATGCAGGGTTTGAGCAGGCATCTCCCAGAGGTGAATCTGGTGTAGGAGGAGGGAGGCCTGAGTGTGTGTCCTCATCCTCTGGTATTAACACAACAGTTAACAGCTCATGCTGCTTTGTGCTCTCATAAAGGCCCAGGTCTGCCATGTCCTGTTCAACAAATCTGTCAAAATCCCCCAACATACTGAATGCCAGGTGCGGTGTTGACCGACAAAGCGCTCCCTGACTCATTGTAGTTGTGCCCTATTAGAGTGTTCTGGTTTGTTGCACTACAGGTTTCAATGCTTTCAAACTGAAATGACATGCTTTTGAATAAAGGAAAGAAAAAAAGTAGTGGTCTTGTGAGTTCAATAAGACTGACATTTGATTTTTTTTACCTTCTAGGAGTTTATCTGTGACCCACCAGTTCTAACCCGTAAGTCACCTCATACTGTAGCTATGGAAGGCCAGCCTGCAAGCCTTAAGTGCAAAGCGAACGGCGACCCAGAGCCAGAAGTCCACTGGATCAGCCCTGAGGGGCGACTTATATCCAATGGCTCAAGGTATTAAGATTTTTCTTTTCGACCTAAAGCCATGTTTGATTAATTATAGAACATTTTAGGACAATGGATTGTATCATTTCTTGACATTTTAAGGTATAGTATTAAGTAAGGAAACATATAACTTGACCACTGAGAGCCCTACACAGCATTAAATATGTCTGAATTCTGACAACCCAAAAAAAGGGCTTTGTAATTATAATACTCCAGCTCAGTGCTATGAGCCAATGTGGCACCAAGTTAAAAATACAGTGCGTCTCGCAACTTTTGTCTTATTGGCTATAGTAGTAGGAGGACATAGGTATATGACTTGTGTTAGCCACTCCTAGATCAGAGGGGTATCACCTCATTCTCATATTTCCTTCTGGTAACCCGATTGGCTTACTCAAGTACGTTGAAAGATAATTTCCCAGCCCTTTAATTCCTTATCTTATTAATTTGGCATTTCTTATTGTATGTTTAGATTAATTCTCAGAAAATGCTGCTAAGTTTGTGAAGAACATTTGTATATTTGGCAAATACAGCTTTGAGTTTTCTCTGCTATTTTGGATGAAGCCCACAACAGCAACATAGCCACTCAGCCTGGCAGTCATTGCATTGATTTTGGACAGAGTGTCTGGATGGATGCTTTGGCTGGAAGTTGGCATTAGCATCAAGTGCTGCAGGCAGCTATGCACAGGTGTTACTAAATGGGCAAATAAGGAGTACACTGATTAGTGATTAGCTCCTGTGTGGGTGACAGAGAAGGAGCGCTTGCGTAACCGTGGTGTGAACTAGATAGGAGTTAAATTTAAAATCAACACTTTGTTCACAGAAGACAATATGTCTTAATTAATTAAACTAGATGTTGGGCGAGATGTGCTGGCCTGTTTTAAATACATTTCTGACTGCCAACCCAAGTATCAGCCTGCTCTCGTCAGAACTAAAATTGGATCTTAGCTCAGTGGCTAGGAGCCAACAGATGTGACTTTGAGGGGGAATATTAAAAATTAAAGATTAGAGGGAAAATAATTAAAGATGAAAAAGAAAATCTGCCTGAACTTATGTAAAGCACCCTGTATGTTTCTTACTTTGTTGTTGCATTTGAATTTTTGTTTATTTATGAACTATTATTTATATTATTATATATCTTGATTTGTTTCAGAACATTGGTTTTCCCGAATGGAAGCCTGGAGATCAATGTTACTTCCCTGAAGGATTCAGGAAACTTCACCTGCATTGCCTCCAACGCAGCAGGCGAATCAACAGGAAGGGTGGAGCTAGTTGTCACGGCGATGCCCCATCTGGCTAACAGCACAAGCCGTAGTCGAGACCCATCCTCGGAACCCGCCCCGTCTGACATCTTAACTTCCTCTAAGGTTGCACTGCCTAACAATGAGAGCAGAGGCGGAGACCGGAGGGTTTCATTGGTGGAACTGACAGGAAACTCTGCACTCATAAGATGGAGCAGTCAGACTCCTACATCTGGAGTCAGAATGTTCCAGGTCCAGTACAACAGCTCTGGAGATGACACACTAGTTTACAGGTCAGTCAATCTATGCTGTCAAATTATTAATTGTCTCTGAGTTGAATTTGTTGTCTGGTATCTTTGGTGACATTTGCTTTTCAAGGCTCATTAGTAAAAAGCATTTGCCTACTTATGTGTGAGGTAATCTGGAGACATCAGCCTCTGCTATGTGAATGGGAGTAGATAATAGATGGTACAAGTGGAAATTAGCCAGTCATCCAGTTGTAAAAGTCTAATCAACTGAAATTATAATAACATCTGTAGTGGGAGACAGCCATTGTTGGGTTTCGCTGAATGCTTGGTGACCTTTTCCAAATGTGATGTAGCTTTTGAACAAGTTTTAATGCTTGTCTGTCAGTTTGGTACAGTGCTACGTCAATCTGCTAATATAGTTGTTGAATTTATTCATCTCTGGCATGAAAAGTACGGCTTTATGAATTTCCTTTTTTTTCATGTTCTGTTGGGTTTGACTTCATTAAGATTTTCAATGACATCTCCTTTGTACTTTATTCCATTTGACTGACTAGTCCCTGTTCAATTTGGGCAACATAAAACAAATCATGTTGAGTCATAGATCTCAACCAAACAAGTGAGTTTTCTGCTTTGTCTGCATACATGTGTAACTCCAAATATGACTAAAAAGACAAATAATCCCAATAGCTTTTTAAAGAACAGTTCATGGTTTTCAGGGAAAAAGTTCTTGAAAGTGGTGTGCCGCAGAACTTGCAATGCAATAATGTTGTGATTGGAAATAACCTCATTTACTGCACACTATTTGAATACTTATGTGGTAGTTCAGGTGTATCATAGAACTCCCATAGAATCCTGTTAGACTTTAGTTCACCTCTGCCAAACATCAATTTCTTGCTCTCTTTGCAAACATGGAGGAGCCCTGTTTATTTTCGAGTCTGGAGGAAATTCCCTCTGATGTTTAGTTTTCAAGGCAACAGGATGAGAAAACCTCTCAGGTCTTAAAATGAATGACATGTAGCCTTAATGCTTTCACAGAGTTCTGCAGACTATTTATTTCATCAAAGGTGCAATGAGTTTACATAATATCCTCGGCCTTTTTATACTTTATAAAAAAAAGCTGAAATGGGAAGTTGAAATTTGAAAGGAGACCCTGTGAGGGAAAATGTAAAACCCATCCATCATGACAGCAGATTAAGAAAGTTCCTCTTACACGCAGAAAATATAAAAAATAAAATAAAAATCCACACCTCTGAGGGGCAGGAAGGGAAGACTCTGCTGAAAAGTGATAATGATGTTATTTCCAAGCTGGAGAGGACACACTTATATTCAGACAGTTGAGCTAACTATGGGAGACAGGCAGCTTTTTACAATTCTAGGCATGGCAACACCTCTCCTGGGTAGCAACTGTCCAGCTGCACCTGCCCGTTCAAGGTTGGACGCAGTTAGTGGGCACAGTGGCCCTGCAGGTACAAAACACTCTCTGGTCAAGTGCTGGTGTGTGAAGAGGAATGAATGTGAGAGAGTTTGTTTGGGTTTCTGTTGAAGTTCTTTCTTTGAAACTCACATGATTAAAGACATTGTCTGGATGTCTACTAATTGAACTGCAAGCTGTGGAAGTTGAACCGACCACCACAAAAGTTAAGTAACATTTAAAGAAAACCTAACATAAGCAGTCAGTACTTATCTTGTGATATAACTATTACAATTGCCTCCATACTGAACCTTAACACTTTTACTCAGACAACAGTTCTGTGCTCTATATGCACATGGGATACTTTTAACTATGTATAGCCACAAAGTAACTCATTCAGAGTGTAAGGACTATTTTAACTTTGTATGAATAACTTGCCATAGAATACTTCTCAAAATGCCTGGCCTCAGCTCAATGTTCCAATCCTTTGGATTCCCCTAAAGTGAACCTAATTTGTAATCTGAAATATGTTTAACATTTTCTGCACTAGCCACTCACTGTATTTATGATGAATAATAATCTCTCTGCATAGCAGTACTTATCGGCAGTGGTGGGGTCTGCCATTCCTATGCTGGACTCAGTCTTTCAATGCTTTATAGGGATTTGCAGTAAAATGATGAATGCATGCAACCCAGCGTAATTTTATGCTATTGAACGAACTTCAAACTGATAAACTTCCTTTCTGCTCTTTTTCGCATTGTGAAAGAGTTGAATTCAATAACTGCTCCTGCAAACTTAAAGTCTCACAGCTGCTGCTTCTCATTAAAAGTCTTACTATAACAGTGAAGCAGCCACAGGACACCACATCATGGGTTTGTCTTCAAAGTTTGCCTGCATGTCATTATTAATCAAGAAATCATTTGAAAAACCCGACAGTGGTCATTGCTGGTAATTATCTCAACAGGGGATCATTGTCAATATTTTCAAGGAAACAACAGAAGAATATAATTTAACATTTTGAGGTTTCTGAGGACCAGACACTTCTTTAATAAACAAAAGACAAGTAAGTTTGATTGCATGATCAAAAGTTACACCAGGTGGGGCGCTGGTGGCTCAGTGGTTGGTCCGAGCCCCATATGGAGCAGGGATTAAAGCAGAAAAAACAATTTTGACTGAAAATTCTCAACGTATAAAACAAAAAAAAAAAAAATTGAATAGGTGTTTTCTATCTAAGGAATAAAATTGACACATTTTTCTTTTTTGAAGCTCAAGATCTAGGCTGACAGATATGAGCTTGCTTCTTTTTAACAAATTTGACCTACAGCCAAGTGAATTTTATGCCTACATAAATTAAAAGGTGCAGCAGGTGTTCTACACAAAACTGTTAAGAAGTGAAAGTCTGAAAAGTAAATCAAGTCAGGGGGGTCTGGGGGGGATTGTCCCCCAGAGGAACAATCTAGCTATTCTAACATTCAAATGAGGCTTTTTGGAGGTAAATAAATTGCGCACGGGAGCCTAAAAAAAAAGTCTGGACATGACGGGCAGTGCACGCTGATGTTCGCTACCACAATAAAAGCCTCCTAAACACTGAGCCGACTTTACGTAACAGATAAAGGTTCTGACTGCAGCCTACACTGAAATGCCACACAGACGCAAAACTACTCTTGTGTTACAGGGTTCAGATAAATACCTGACATTAAAAACAGCAGTTTGCACGTTTGTCATTAACCCACATTCTGCTTGACTGTTTTTGTCTGATTGACACTGACTCAAAATATAACAAGTTTGAAATTGACAGAAATCTGTCGTAGCGACGGAGAACTTTAATCCCTGTATGGAGGCTATAGTCTTCTAAGCGGGCGGCCCAGGTTCAAATCCCACCTGTGTCTCCTTTCCCGCATGTCATTCCCCATTCTCTCTCCCTGATTTTCAGCTCATTAGTGGCCCAAAAAGCCCAAAAATAAAATCTTAAAAAAAAAAAGGTTACACCAGGCACTGCTGTTTTAGTTATGATCAAGTAGCTGCTGAAGAAGTGTGTGCTGTAGCATCAAACACACTTGTTGATTTCAGTGTTTAAACACAAGTGTCTCCAAATTTTAAAGTTGGCAATTAACCAAAAATTAAATCTGTATCCCTATTTTTTTTTTGAGGTAAAAGTTCATTAAAAAAATTCTACAGTAACAAGATGTTAACTACAGTGTGACTTCCAGAGCAGTTACATATATCCACTGTTATATGTGATGTAAAAAGGGTGACACATTGTAAACCAGAATAACAACTGGTTGCATGAGGTTAAATCAACACTTTTATATTTTCCTTTTTTTTAGTATCTTTGTTTAGGCCTAGCATCTAACTTTCTCTGACAATTAAGAGACTGAGACTATTTGAAACGATGCTGATACTTGTTCAGCTTGAAAACTCTGGGGTTCTATTTTACTGTTCACAGGCAGAAACTAAGACCTTTTGGAAAACAATGCTGCAGATAGCAGCAAATGCTTGAAGATTGCGTCTTATTAGTGATGCCATTTCCTTATCTGTTTCATCCTGAGTTTTCAATAAAAAGACAAATGCTTTACCAGGGTTTACCATAACGTGAATAACTTATTATTGGCAGTGCTGACTTTCTTCACCATCCGAAAGGCTGATATGAAGTCTTCTGCATTTCCTGCATAGTGTCCAATGATGCTGATGCTGCAGTTTATATGTCAAACATTATTTACCGTTTAAAATACTGTTTGCTCTTTAAAAAACATTATCTAGTCTTTACTTGATCACATAAAGTCACGGCTGAATGATGACTTTGATATACAAGACATAGAGTCACATGGCGGTGATAGATTTACATCTATTAGAAGGTATCACCATTGCAGCAGCTCTCTTAGTAAAATAAAAAAAAATAATAATAACACAGCCTTGAGTGCGTCTGTGTGCATGAGTCTACAGTTTCTCTCTTCTATCTTTCTTTAGTCAATAACCATTAGGAAGGGTGAGGCACAATGCCATGAAGAGAAGGGAGGTGGGGGAGGATTAACAGGGAGATGGTAATAAAGTGCTGAGAAGAAGAAAAGAGAGGAAATAACGACAGACAAAATATGATGGTGTCCCAAGGAGAGGCCATGAATTTAACAAGCTTATTTTCCTTTTTCATGATTTCCTTTATAATTAGATCTGTTGTTTCAAAAAAGAAAAGTCACTTTTTGAAGCTTCATTTAGAACACTGATAAGAATTTAAAGGGAAAAAAACATGTTACCTCCTTGCATTAAGAAAGGTACCAGGCACATGGAATGCATACTAGATTTACTCCATGATAAATCCTTTACCTTTCCTCTGAAAAAACAACTACTCTACCAAGAGTATCCAGATCCCAGCATCTTGTGATCTATACTCTGCCCTCAAGTGTTCTCTTTATTTAACTTTTATTAAAGCAAGCCGCCCAATTCAGAAGCATTTCCACTTTAAAGGACCACCAGTAGTCAAGAGATTGTCTGAGGAGCTCAGAGCATAAAGAGGGCTCTCTGACGCAGTCTCCAAACCCCCTGACTACTCACGATCAATGCCATTACAGCGTGTGTGTGTGTGTGAGTGCCTGCGCTAGTGCATTTGTGTGCATGTGCGTGGAAACCATCAGTTGAC